TAGTTTTAAAAAAAAGATCCATGGGATTGAACTATTAGTCATTAGTGCCTGCCCCCCCAGCTTTGTGTTCCGCACCGGATGCGCAGTGTTTGTATAGAAAGCAAACTTATTGCACTGTGTAATAAGATTTGAATGCAAACATTTAATTAACATTATCTGTTCAGAAGCATTGTTTAAACACAAGTTAACCTTTCTGTGCCAAGGCTGAATGAAACTGTGAAACTTAAGGCTGGGTTTTCTGTTCCACTGACCAGCGCCATGGATTGATGTGCTGTTGATACAACCACTTTCTCAGGTTTCACGTATGGAAGTCTATGATGGAGTAGTAACTTCATTAATTTGGCCCATAGTGATTGAGTTGAATACTAATATTTTGACCTTATTCCCTAGGTAATATTCTTTCCTGCTGCACAGACTTGGAAAGCGTGGCCATCCCTGTGGTGTGAGCCACGTTTATGACAAACTTTCGGAAAAATAATATTTCACACGTAAATACGTGACTGTTGGTTCTTAACACTTTCTGTATTACCAGAAAGAGGTACAGGTCCTCATTGTTCCATAGTTTTTGAGTGTTCCTTTCTTTCCCTTTTTTTAGTATTCTGACATTCACAGTTCTGCCTGCCCTGTAACCCAGGAAGGAGAAGGATGTTGGTCCTGTGCACAGCTGACCTCACTTGGGCTTGACACAGCTGTGAATCTCTGGCCCCAGCTCAGAGGATAAGGATGCATATCTACAAAGGTATTTAAGCAACGAGCTCCTTTAATGCCTTTGTGCATCTAAAGCCCTACAGTGGATCCACCAGGCTCTCTTAAGCAAGTATGTGGAGAAGCTGAACATTGGTTACATGTTGACTGACCCCCATAGTCAACTCAGTAATCACTGAGGTGGAATCTGCCTGCCTATCTCAAGGAGGAGGTGGAAACTGGGCTAGGAATTATGTTTTGTGAAAATACAATACAAATTCCTAACCCAGTTTTCAGTTGGGAGAGCATGTTATTGTTGAACAATTGATACCACTTCATGGAAGCTTATTTTCTGTGCCTTAAGGGAAATTCAATTAAATGAACTTCTATTTTAAAACACTGCTCTTTCCTGTCACTGATGAAGCAATAACAGTTGCAGAACATGGGATTTTCTGGGAGTGTTGGTTGTTTGTTCTCATTTGTATTAATTTTGCAGCCTCTATTTGAATCTTATCTATAATACGCCCTGAGACAGCCCACTAGAGACCTAACTGATTTCACTAGTGACTTCAGGCTGGTGTGTGCTTGCTGCCCACAAGGCAAGAAGAAAGGCATGTCCCATAGCTGCAGGAGGTAATGCTTAGGGATACTGTGGCCCCAGTTAATAGGGCTGTACATGACAGTAGCTGAGGTTTGTGGCATACTTCTACCCATAGGCTGTTGCTGACACCCAGACGAGCTTGTTTCTCTACATAGTGAACTGCTTCTGTCATTAACCAGCCCAGAAACCAAAATGTTCACAAGTGGTACAATTCTATTGTCTAGCCTTTGCCTTTCCATGCTCGTTACAGCTCAGCAAATGCAGAGATTTGAATCTAACATGACAAGAAGTGTCAGAGTTGGGGGTTAATTCTCTGTGAAATAATTTTGGTGATGGGATGCTGCCAGAAAGCTTGACTCTACATTTCTTGGACACCCCAGATTCCCACAAACTGCAAGGAGAGATCTGTATGAGCAAGGAATGCAACTTGAGCTTGCAATGTTTTCAGCTAGAGATATCTTAGAACCTGAGTGGGATGCTCTTAAGAGCCTGCTGTGTCAAAAAGGTGACCCTTCTAGGACTGGGATTTTTAGTGCAGAACACATTTTTATAACTGACTTCTATAAATTTTAAATACCAGGTCAATTAAGCTTGATAGTGCTGACAGAGTCTTAATTAAATCAGTGTGAACAATATCAGTCTTGCATAACTCTGTTTCAATCAAAAACATCAGAAATTATGATTTTTCTTCATTGTCCCTTGTATGGGATGATGGTCTGAGAGCTTTTTCCCATTTCCGGTACTGGTTGCTCATTAATTTGTCCATAATTTTGAGCTTTCTACTCCACTCCCATCTCTCTTTGGTTCTCCATTTTGCTTCCCTACCACTAACACTTTGGCTGATTCTCTGCCATCCTGTACAGTGACTACAGAGAGTTCAAGTGGCCCTTCTGTCCCTCCATTTAATAATGGAGGGTGCAAACGTGCAGTCTCTCAACAAGGATGGATCTTGCAAAATGCCAACTACCAAGAGCTTGTATTTGGTGCCCAGCACTTTTTTTTTTCTCTCTTTTTTTTTTTTTTTTTTTTTTTGGAGGCAAACTGAGTCCCTGGACAAAACTGTCATTTAAGCACAGTGGAAATTCAGTCTGCAGGTAGATTGTTGAGCCAGGGCTGCTCCGGGATGTTGGCAATCCACGTGACTTTGGTGAAAGGGGTGCTGATTAATTGCTTGGGTACATAAGAGTTAAAGGTAATGTAATGTCTGGTCTTGCTGTCAGAGTCTCCTACCTGTCTGCCTGTGCAAGGGGGACAGCTCACCTGCCAGCCTTTGAGTCATGGGCAAGGGCAGCTACACGTGCAAATGAGCACAAGCCAGAACAAAGCCCTCTCCTCATTCCATGGGTGAGGGGCAAAGATCCTGGCAGGCCCCCTGGTAGTAGCTCACTGCTTTCTCTAGTTTCAGTATTTGTGCTTGTGGCACACAGAAGCAGCTGTTAGGTGAGGTGAACGCAGGAAATGCTTATGTGATTCCTGGAACTTCAACCTGCTGGGCTCCTTCCTGAGGGACCACAACACTGGATGCCCATTGTCCCCTCCTGTCACCAGATAGCTGGGGAGCAGACAGCAGAAGTCTGACTTTGCCTGGCCTTATGCCACCCATGGGTCAACTAAGGAAAAGGAAATCCCCAGCTGCTCCCACGGACAACTCAAATCTGAAAATGGTGCAAGGGGAACTTAACCTGGACATGATAGCTGACATCTGACCTCAAATCTCCTCTTCAGCTGAAGAAATAGTTTGCTGTCTCTGTCTAAATGTTTTTGTCTGTCTCTGCTTGAAAGCTTTAAATAATGTCACAAAACTACTCACACATCCCACACTGCAAAACAGATAAACAGGGAGAGGAGCTGTGTGTGTTTAACAAGCTGGAATACAACCAAAAAAGGACTTAAAGTCTGCGATCAACTTGGTAGCACACAGGGGCCACCAGGGGTGATCACAAGGGTTGACTTGAGTTCTGCTCCCTCTGCTGCTTTCTTATCCCAGTTATGTCCTTGATCTCTGAGTTAATCGTTCTCTGATAACTTAGGCTTGATCAAACCTTCAACTCTTGTGAACAAATGTTGTTGCCATCTTCAGGGAGCATGTGGATCAAGTTCTCAGCATCTTGAAAGTGCTGCCATGTCCTGAAATCCTATTTTCTTAGACTGCACTTCATCTTGTCTGTTTTGCATTTAGTGCCCTCTTGCTTTGTGTTCATACTCAACCCGCATGATGTAGAACACAAATACAGAGATTTTGTGTGAGACTACTAGAAGATTTTAATCTTCTGGTTTTATCTCTCCTTCCAGACATATCCTGAAATGACTCGTTCGTTCTTCTCTTTTTATTTCACAATGTAAGCATTTCACAGAGGAGGTGACATCTTTCAGTGCTTTAGCATTTCATCTCCCTACATCTTCACATTTTTTTCCACTTTCTCATCTGCATGTTACCAAATTAATTATACTGCACAATGACTTTAAAAAGACAAACAAAGGCTAACAAGGATATTTCTTGGCAGTTGGTCGTTGTTTTGCCTTGGGCCCATATCTTTGCTTGCTGCTTTCCACTGGGTGCTGAAGCCGTGCTTGTGTTTAAAGATAACTGCTCTGAGCATGATTATATCTTATTTTCTGTGTATGCTTTCAGGAGGGTTTAATGTTGGATAATCTGCCCACTATAACCACATTTCCAGACAATAGCAGGCTGCAGAACACAGTGCGATAACGTGTTGGCAAATCTTGTTTATGTTCGTTCCTTGTCATTATATTTAGATTCCAATGGTTTAAGTGCACATGGTGGGGGGGGGAGGGGGGAAGAGGAAAAAAAGGGCTGAAATCAATGGCTGTAGATATACTCAGATTTCGTAGTCCACAACCAAAGATGACATGGTTTCTAGGCGAGGTGCAAGATATTTTTCCATCTGAATCTGCCTGTAAAAACAGCATAAGCTAAAATAAGATCTTTCTATCTTTCTATCTACTCATGCAGATTGACTAATCATGTTGATGTGTCTGGATCAACTTTCAATAATGACATTGGAGAATAACTGCAGAAGCTATCATCTTCTCCAGGGGACTCCAGGTAAATTTCTGAAGCTCAGTGTGTCTCTCAAGTGTGAGCAAACAGAGGCTGTTGAGAGCAGATGAAACTTCCCATTCTTAGTGTCTTCTTATGACACATTTTGCACAAGCAATACCACAATGCTAATTACTTTTGTAGCAGAGTAATTTCTCATCATTGACTTTTCTTCTGTAAGCATAGTTAGTAATTGAAATAGTCAAATTCCATTTGAGATTGTGCATAAGTGACTTTGCTTCAGTTTCCTGTCTTGTTAAAGATATAGCCTGTGTTTAAAGAGTTAGGAAGTTGTGTTTCTTGAAAGACCTGTTCCTTTAAATTCCTACAAACATATTTAATTTCTGAGTGCCACGTGTCAATAAAGTCCTGAAAACATGCTGAAGGCGCATTATTTCCACACGGGTCAGAACCATCTTTTGCAAGACTAAAAAAAGATCTGATCTTGTCTCAAATTGTACTCCTGGTTCCTAGAAATACTTTTGCTAGGAGATAAGGAAAATGATGTAACCATGGATGTCCACTGGGTATTCTGGATTGAATGAAATCCTCCTTGTGCACCATGGGAATGGTCATAGAATAAAAATTCCAGATGGGCTAATCATAACACATTTACTGAGGTTTCAAGCTGGGACATCTGGGAGAACAACTATAGAGCAAAATGCTAAAAAGAAAATGTGCATTCATCCTAACTGGGGATGGCTCTTACCTCGGAGTGGCCAGAGCTCCTTACTGAAGGGAGATGCCGTCTTCATTTGACCACCATTAATTAATGACAGGATTTCCCAGCCAGTCCACACTTGGACTTGAAGGTGAGCTCATGAAGCTACCTCTTGGGCATGAGGAGGGGTCTCTTGGGGAACCTTGTCCCTGGAGAAGTGCATTGTGGAAATCTCTGGTGCCTGGGTGAGGCTTCATAGTGATATTCACTATTTGTCTTCATTAATGTTTAAATTTGTTGTGTGGAGAATAGAGCTGACCTTGAGCTTGCTCTCTGTGCCATCTACAGGTATTGGGATGAGAGAGGCTTCTCCTCCTGATAAACCGTCTTTATGCTTTGCATTTAATGTAAACAGTGTGTTTAGAAATGTATTGTCTGTAGCAGACCTGATATCACAACCAAATTCTTTAAAATAAAATGGGGGAATCATGTGTCAGCTGCCTAGCACTGAAATGTATGGAATGGAATTAAGCAAACCTTTTCTTAATTAAAAAATGAAAATGGATTCTGAACTTTATCTAAGGGTCACTTTGGGATGATTTTTAGACAGAAAAAATCTTGGCTTTGTGGCAGAACAGCTGTGAGGGAGTGTTCTATTCATTAGAACACAATTTGTCCAAGAAAATATGTTCCAAGTCCTAATCAATTTAGATGAAAACTTGCTGGACAGGGTTCAAGCAGGCCAGTTATGGAGTCTTATAAAGCCAAACCCACATGTCTCAGTGGGCAAGAGGCAAGATAATCTTAGCTTACAATGGAATGTTTAAATTTATACAGCGAAGACACTGACATAGGCACAAGGATTGGTTCTTTTGTGTTTGGTTTTTGTTTTTTTAACCAGAAACATGTGAAGAATCAGAATTTTTAGAGAGAGGGAATATCCCTTTAAGATATAATCACTCATAGTGAATGGACTGTGACCAGATTCATCTTTGCTCTAGCGTCTATAGAAAGATTTCTGGAAAAGACCAGCTTCTGAAGCACTAGAAACATAGATTTGCCTCCAAATGAAGGTCCTTGGCATCACAGGCTCTTGCAGAGTTTTATAATTCCCAGCTGTATGAGGGGTTTTTTTTAACGAACTGCTTCAACAGTGGAAATTCAGCAGTTTGGAGAAGCTGTTGCATGGTTAGCCCTTGGGAAGGTGACACCATGCACAGCATTGTTCAGCGGTTAAATGCACGTTCTTTATCGTGACACATCACTACCGAGCACAGAAAACCACAGGCTAACACACCCCCAGCCTTCCTGGTGTTAATGGTAGCTATTTTAGAGTCTGCTTCTCTGTCATTCAGTTAGTTTCTTCATTACTGCAGCTAGTGTTTCACGATAAAAAAGGGTGCTTAAATAACTTTGAAACAATGCATTTGCGGAAAATTCCCATGGGGTGAGATAGAACCTAAGCAATCTTCAACCTGGGGAATATTTCATTTCTTAATTTGAAGTGGTTTTCTACCTTGCAGAGTCTTAGCTACTGTTAATGTCCACCACAAACATGAATCAAGTGTGTCTTTTGCAGTAACTGTCCATGCTTCATAGAAAGCCACAGCAAGAAGTTGATCTCTGAAGTGCCAGCTTATATTCACCTCTTTGCTAATGGATCCTCTGCTTTCCTGCATCTGTTGCTGGGAAGTGACAAATACACCATTTCTCTTCTCTCGTGACTCTCTTCTGGCACTTGAAGGCCTTCACTGGCTTCAGGGGGGAAAAAAGTAAGTTCATTCCAGCTGTAACTGGCTCTACACCACAGGGCAGTCCCTCAGTCCCAAACTTGTTACTCACCAGCTTTCTCCTGTCCAGGGACTGAGACCTGAGTCAGGAGCTGCCTTTTCTCATCATGACTCTGTGATTTCAAGGGGCAACGAAACACCCCTTCTGTCAGTCCTCCTCCTTCTCCTCCTTTGTCCAACAGCACCGTCCACAACACCACCCATGCATGTGCATCCACCCTCTTGACTCGAAGGAGGATTTACCCACATGATTGGGGCTGGATCTGAAAGAGAAGGAGCATACAGTATTGTTAAGCAACTTGTGGTTAAAGTCACAAACTCTGGAGACCTCTTGACTACTGTAAACGCCAGCAGTTCGTTGTCCCACAGCCTCTTCCTTCCTTCACACCCCACTCTGCCAAGTCAGCCACCTGAGACCCTGCTTATTGCTCTTGTTTTCCCTGGCTTTCTTCACTTGTTTACTTAGAAATATCTTTCCCTCCCCTTCCCTCCATTTGAATTTCTTGCAGGAGGGTCTTATAAGGACACCTACTTTTATCAGAATTTCCTGTGAGCTAATAGGCAGCTTTTTTGAGGCTTATGTGTTTTGAAATAAAAACGTAATCATTTATAATTGCCACTTTCCCAAACTCTGCTTTGAAAAAAAACCCTTTTCTTACAGAAAGTCATGATTTTAAAGGGCCAGTTTAAAAGACAGACTCTGTACTGTGGAGGAGGAGGGGTACTTTGGATGCAGCAGGACAGCCTGTCACCCAAGGGAAAACAGCCGACATGCTGCTGAAGCTGGCTGCATATTTTCGTTTCAAAAAGCACTCCAGACTAAAACCACCTGTGAGTTAGTCTAGCCTCTCCGGCTGATTTAGTAGGGCCTGGTGCAGAGTGTCCTGTCAAAAGGCACACTTATTTTCATAAGGCAAATGAATCAGTTTTTATGTGGCACAGTGACAGCTCATTGGGATGAACTCATTAAAACCTTGTAAAACAAACTGTAAGTGAGAGGTGCAACATTTCATTATTGAAACCTGCAGAATTGACAGGCATCCTATGGAAAAGTGAGTCATATTCTCTGTGGTACATTCTGTTCATTCTGTTATGATAAACACGGGTGTTTGTTTGCTGAGTCCATTAGCATCCAGCTATAAACTTGATTAGGAGGACATGTTCCTCAGCCCACTGCTGAGTTTGTGTGTGCACTGCTGTTTGGTTGCTGTGTTGTATAACAGTACCAGTCATGTCAGACTGCCATGCCAAAAGGAAATAACAGCACTTTCCTCATTTCTTTCAAATCCATCCTGAATTTCTATTAAAGACATCAAAGCAATTACTCTAATACTTTCCATGTTTTCCGAACGACTCATCTTTTAAAGAAACTACTGGAAAATAAGGCACAACCAAGGTTCCTTAGTTCAGGGTTTGAAACTTTTAAGAATCACATGGAAAAAAAGTCAAAATAAGAACCACAAACCCATCTTCTCATAAAACTCTTCTCCATATTTTATATATTAGTATTGATTTTTGTGCTACCAATTGGAGTTGGTTTTACAAGCTACATGCCAGAAGATAAAACAGGTTCATTAGTCTATTAGGGACTGCAGAAGGTAAATTAACTGACCAAATGTGGTTATTGCTCCTGTTGTTGGAAGACAACAGCCAAGAGAATGACTTTTAAATAGGATGATGGTTGCCTGCATCTAGAACCAGCAGTGAAATAAGGGATTGTCTGCTGGAAACAAGAGGACTTCTGGGAAGGAAGTTTCTATGCAGCATAAGTAGCACTTTGAAAAATCTGACTCTTGTCCAGTTATAAGAATGGGCAAGGTCTCCAAATTTTTAAATGTTTGCTGCATTTCTAACAACTGTAGATGGGGCAGGAGGGATTGGTGCTGACTTCAGCAGGAAGAGAGCTGCACATTAGCCATGGGTTAGAAACTTGTTGGGTTGAAGCATGAAGCATTCTATGTTTCCATAGAATGATTTGCTCTCTACAATTGCTGATGCAGTGCTCCAAGGAAGTGAGGTTACTATCTTGCAACTCCTGAAAGGAAGGGCTGAGGACAGGGAGCATTCCCTGTCTAACTCTGACAGGTAGGCATTCCCAGCTTCTGGGGTGCACAATGGTACCCTTAAGACTGTTTGTTTTTCTGACCTTTTTTCTTCCACATTCTGACCATATGTTGAGGGTCCAGGAACGTGCTGTTCCAGACTCTCTCTAGTGCAAGAGGAGCCCGTGCAAAAAAACTTTGCAGTAACAAGCACCATAAGACTGCAGGTAAAATGACTGCTTCACTCCTCAAACTGAACCTACCATGGGGTACTCATGTAGGAAAAAAGGAATCTTTTGCCTTTTTCCTCTGGCAGATATCTGGTAGTAGCTTTTGGGATGCTTTCTGCCCTGATAATAGCTTTTTGGTTTTTAATTTCTCTTCAAGTTATCCAATTGCTAAAGTCCATTCCTCCTTTTCAGTCCCGTTTTACAGGTGTTTCTAGCAGTCCAGGAAAACTGTGTATTGTTCCTCCTCAAAGCCTCCTCGTGCCGTCTTTTGTTGAGGGAGAGAAATGCTTCAGAGCCATGTCAGTGCTTTTCAGCATGCAGCCACATGGACAAGCCGGCTCCAGGAGCTACAGGTTCCCAGAAGGCCACCTCCCATCCCACAGCGAAGCAGAAGCTGAAGGCTCTCCTCACCCACTGCAGCCTCTCACCTTACCCCGTGAGTCATGTGTCACAGGAGGGCATCTCTTAACTCTAAGGGGGATGTTTAATAAACCTAAGATTTCTTAATATTTAGATGTTCACAGTTGTTCACAAAAAGTAAAATACACAGTCCAGCATGATCAGCTACACGCTGGGAAAAAAGTACATAGCACTGTACTTGAGCAGAGCCAGCATCTCTGTGGGTTCTCTGGCAGGAATGAATGGTTGGCATCGTATTTTTCTAGGTAAAATACAAGGAGTTTATCTAGTAATAGAGCCTGTTGAATCTAGAGCAGCCTGAATCCTTGTAACACCCCCTGCATGCACACGCCTGTGTTGCAGGTGGAAACACTACATTAAGAAATGAAGAGTGACTTAGAATCATGGAATAGCTTAGCTTGGAAAAGACCTCTAAGGTCATTGAGTTGATCTGACTTGATTTCTGCTATTTATCCCTTACTATTCCCTATCCCTATTAACTGTCTCATTTCCATTGTGGAAATTGTCACCCTGTGACCACATGGCTGAAGTGATTTTTTTTTTAATTTTTTTTTTAACCTGCTCTCCCTGGAGAAAGGTATACTGTGTGTGTGTAGGAGCTTAGACTAAAGCAGGGAATGTTGGAAGCTGCAGGTCCTGGTCTTTGCTGTGCTGGCTCCTGATGAGGCATGGATGTGTAAAGCTGTTTGGTATGTGCTGTTGCAAGAAATACATGTGCAAACATGATGAGATATCTGTGGGTACAGGAGCACCTCCTTGGGAACTCTAGTGTTTGGTTTGCTGACAGTATTGCTCCAGTGAAGCAGCTTTTAGTTTCTTTCCACCTCAGTTTGTTTATCTGTAAAATGGAAATAGAGAACTTCCTAGAGAACCCAGAGCTACACTGTTAATTACTCATAGCTTTTGCATACTCTTGAGGAGAGTATAAGCTGTAAATCTCTGAAGCTACATACCAACATTTCTGTGGTTTAAGCATCAGGGGAGCCCCTTTTCCAAAGACACTGCTGTGTTCTCCTGGCTATGTGTCCCATGGCAAGCCTGCGTTCAGCTCGTGGCATGTAGAGTCTCAGCACCTTGACCCCACAAGCCCTTTCTGTGTGCAGAGCCAGGTGTTTCTGCAGAGCCTGTCCTGCTGGGGGCTGCAGGGTGGAGCTGGGAAGGTGCTTGTTGTGTGTACTGTGCTTCAGAGGTGCTGAAAGCAGCATCTTGCAGACCTGAACAGTCTGCCAGGGCACAGTAGTGCAGTGGCCCTCTCCCAGCACCAGCATGGCCCTTACCCAAGCCAGGGCCAAACACTGAACATAGGGCCAAGCACTGCTGGGACTATGGGCATGCACAGAGCCTCCCAAACAGGGTGGAAGGTCAATCAGGTCATCCTGTGCCTCTTGGTAATAGCCCCCAGTGCTTTACCATCGGCTCCTTGGAGACTGTGACATTTGAACTTACCCTGGCTGCCCCAGCACAGGGAGGTCAAACAAATTAAATTTCTCTTCAAATTAGCTGTATGTGGCTTTGATCACTGTCCATTTGAGACTGAGTGTGTTTTAGCTGGAAGAATGCATGCCACGTTCCAGCCACCTCCTCCAGCCAGGGGAGCTGTGATGCCCCTGGCAAACGCGTGCGCTCGCTGAACGTTACTGAGCTGGAGAGCTGTCACTGAAGCGTGTCCTCCTCTGTCCAGAAGGATCCCAGTTCACTGAGCCTCTCTCTTACAGATGTTAATTCCTTCCTACAAGTTCTAACAGAATAGTAAGCTGCAGTAAAGAGAGGGGATATGTTCAATTTAAGCAGCAAGATTACTATGTTCTGAATAAAGCTGTATTTATTAATGATTACCTCTGTGCCATGACTTTAAATTCAAACAGCTGGACAGCCTCTGCTCTTTATTAATTTCCTTGGATCTTTGGCACGAAGCCCTCAATTCCTGTGATGTAATGGTATAAAAAGTTGGCTCCTGCCCGAGCTTCCACCCACAAGTTCTAAATTTGGAGCATGGCAAATTTCTGCAGATTCCAGAGACAGGCTATGCTCAAGACGTGCTGATGCCTTCAGTCCCATCCTATTGCACCAAACAACAAGATTGTGTGCTTTTTATAACTGGGATCATAAATATGACTCAGATGCACATGTTGTCTATGTAAGCACTTGGGGTTGGCTATCACTTTATGGCACTGGGAAGAAGCCAAGCCAAATAAAAATTGTTTTGAGTAAATATTACATTTCTAGAGCATGAATAACTTTTCTCTGCAGCCAACGTGTCACTAATGGGAATAAGGAAGAAGACGGGGTGGGGGGAAAACAGTAACTAAATCATCCCACTAAACACAGACTGTCTGCAGCCAGACCTGTTGTTTCGACTCGACTGGGGTGTAATATCCCAGATAATTCCTAGCAGGTCTCAGCAAGGACGTGAATGATGGAAATAAAAATAGCTATATAGCTCAGCGCCATCCTGCTGCACTGCTCTCTTTTGGGTGGGATCTCCATCAGTGGTATGTAAAACAGGCAACCAAAGAACCGAGTGTCCTTCTCTCCCCCACTCCCAAATGTGCAGAGGCTCAAGCATGTGGATTGCTCCATGGAGATCAGCGTTGCTACTCACATGCTCAGCACTAAGCATGTGCACATGTCTGTCCAGGATCTGGGCCAAAAGGAAGGATGAATTTTTCATCCTGCACCTTTGGGACCCCGGGGGTGTTTGCACTGCAGAACACAGGGAAATAGAAAATGAGCCCACATGCAGCTTTGTGCTGATGCACCAGAAGGAAGCAGCTGACTGGCAGCTCTGTGGGGCAGGAATATGCCATCCCACCACATACAGGACCACTGCATGGCTGCTGGCTCTGCTCCAGCTCTTGCAGCAAGCTGATAAATCTCAGCATCCCCTCACCGCCCAAAACCCCAATTACTCCTGCCCTTGAGTAGGAGCAGCTTATGAAGTGCTTCACCTACCTGAAATGCAAAGGGAATAAAAAAAAAATGCTCTTTCTGCAAGGCATTTTCAGGAAACATTCCCCGATAAAAGGAATCTTCAAGTGTCTCAAAAATAATAGCCAGATAGAAATAATAAGTGAAGAGTCTAGATTTGAAAATCATTAGTGCCTTTCCCGTTTTCCTAATGGGCGTGTAATCCTGAGTAGTGCATTCCTCCCCATTGCACCTGTGAGCTTCTACATATCAGATAACTGCTTTCCTGAACTTTGTTGTCTTTTCCTTTTTCATAGGCTTCTTTCCGATAGCAGGCAGAAAGCCTGGCTTTAAAAGAGTTCAGACAGGAAGCAGAAATGTTCCAGGAGGATTTCTGAGTCCATCAGAAGAGCAACTGGCTTCTCAAAGTGTGGATTTCAGAGATCCCTAAAATATTTGGCTACACTGTTGGAACAGGTGAGTGGGGAGGCGTCAAGAGCACTCGACATTCTCATGTCCCAACCCTATCAGAAGGGTTTGAAGAGCTGTTCTGTGGAGTGGGTTGGACTGGGGCTTACAGATAAAATGTTTTAAGGGCTGTGAGTCCTGCAATAACCACAGCAGTCTTGACGTCAGCAGACCTGTACCTCCAGGAATTAGTTCTGAGAAATCAGTGCCGGTTTGCCCAGCTAAGGCAGTTTTGACTGTGTTTGAAGGATCTGGGTGATAAGTCCTTTTTCCATGCCTTGCAAGCTGCCAGTGGTCATTTTCTGCCAGAAGAGCAGCCCAAGCAGTGTACAAGGGACTGGCTCTCTCCCCTTTGTAATGCATTTTATGATTTGGAGAAACATTTGTAATGCAAGAAAGTGTTTTCACATATTAGAGCTTCTAAATTGTTAGAACAGTTGGAAAATCCTAATTGCCTTTAGAAGGCAAGAAAAAAAACAGCAAAGAAAATATTTTTGGACTGCAGAATTAACAAAACTGAGAGCTAAAGATTAGTTTCCAAGACCAAAAATATGTTCAGGGAGTCCCGTTGTACTTGTGAGTTTAACACAAATGCCTGAGCCTTCAAAAAGTGATTTGCACCTACCCCAAACTTGTTGCTCTGAGTTGCAGAGCTTAAGCTCTTAAAACTCTCCATAGGTGCAATGTCGAGGTTGGTCATGTTTAGATCTACCCCAGGATGTTTCCAGAACTCCACATGCACAAAGGAGGGGAAAACCTACCTGAGATTGATGAATGAGAGGTGACAAAAGGGGGCTTGGCAGGAGTGCTGGTTTAATTTTCCTGAAACTGTGTGGGGTTTCACTCCAGTTAATTAGAGAGTTGAAGGCTGTTTCAATTTGCAGTTCTTTCCCAAGGCTCAGAGGAGGTTTTCTGACTGCCAGGGATGAGGCATATAGGTGGAGGTGACCCTGCAAGGGTCTGGCAGGGGCTGGTGCCGTGGGCTCTGGTTGTACAGGATTTGCCCTTCCCAAGGCCTCTTACAGCAATCTGATTTGCACCTTGTGGACTTGGTTTCAGGGTATCACTTAAAGAGCCCTCTTTTCAAAGACAGCTTCCTATTTTGCAGATGTCTCTGTGCTTTTTTAATGGGTAAACATCACTCATGTTTCATCAATGCACAACTGAGGCATAAGGAGGTTAAGGGACCTGACGAAGGTGATAGCAAGTCAAACTGTTTGGAATTTTCTAGCTCTGACATATCATCTTTCTAAAGCAGGAAACCCTCTCAGGAGTAGTAGGTTTTCATTAAAACAACAGTTCGAACCTGTCGATCTCGATATATCAGGAGAAAGAGGAATGTAGAAAATGTGAGAGGTAGCTTAGCCTCTCTTAAACTAAACCACCAGGTTCACGTTCCTATGGAGAAACAAATACCCTGCAGGCATCATGATGTCTTTGATTTATTTTTGGAAGTCGAAAACTCCTCCTTTTGGTGTCTGAGCTAAGAAAAAAACAAGGATTTTGTGGGCCAACAAAAGTTTTCTGGAGGAAAAAACCCCTCCAGTTCCACTTCTCAAGGGCTTATGGCATGAGCAGTTGAGCTAAGGTAATCCAATTTAGCCTCCCCTACATTTCAAAATTGGATTAAAGTTCGTAAGTCATTGAGGGAAACTGTTACCCAACAGAGTAACTGTATGAGTCTCAAATTAGTGTGTTAGGCCTTTGCAGCTATGGGTGCAGACCCTGGTTTCAGCCACCTGAATAAATCAGTGTACCCAGAGCACAGGAGGGAGCGAGGTGCAGGTCGGTGAAGCCCCCCGAGCTGTGATGACTGGGTATGCTGACAGCCTGGTCCTCCCTCTCCTTCCTTTTCTTTGGTGAGATAAGTCATCCCAGCCCTAGGAAGAGGTTTTGGCTCGGTGCTAGGTGTGGGTTTTTCCTCCTGCCGCAGCAGTGTGCTGCTGCACGTACACAAAGTGACGCTGCTCCAAGCGTGCGCCCGGCTCAGCTGTGCAACACCCGCGCGGTGCCGCATCCCCGCGAACCCTTCCCTCAGAGCAGGATCCGCAGATGTGATCCATTAGGAGCCTGCCGAGCAGGGCTGTGCTCCCCGGGCTCTCCCGGGCCGTGCGGCGGTGTCCGGCTGCCATCTGGTGTCCGGCGCCCGGGGGGGCCCCGTGCATCCCCCGCGCATCTCCCGCCACCGCGGGACAGCCTGGGCTCAGTGGCATCCCCTGGGCTGCGGCCAAGCCGTGAGCAAATCCTGCCCAGACTCACCAGGGCCCCCCGCCACGGTATCTCCCGCATTCCTGCGGCAGATCTGGTATTTCTTATTGTTCTCCCCGTCTCTGGGGGAGCAGCTGCCGCTGCCTGGCCGGCCTGCTGGGGCAGGAGCTGGCGGGGCCCTGGGCTGCGAGTTCCACGACTCGCCGGGGGCTTTGGAAAAATCGTGTCAGTCTTCTCGCCCTGCTTCGGCATGTAGGGACTTGGGGCTCATCAGGAGGGGCAAGATAAAAATTAGAGAAGAATGGAAAACTGGAAGAGCAGCGAGCGGTCGTGCAGCATCGCTCTCCCAGGGGTGGTGTGGGCTCAGCACACGCTTCCCTGGGCCTGGCACACACTTCCCTGGGCTGGGCACAGGCTGCCCTGAGCTCAGCACTCACCCAAGAGCTTTCTGCTGAAGTAGCTGAGCCAGCCTGCAGCAACACAGCACCTCGAATTTGCTGGGTGGGAAATGCCCCTAACTGGGATGCTGGCAAGCACAGGGACACCAGTAGCAGGGACTGGTCAGAATGGGGTGAGGGGAGAGGCAGACACAGAGCTGTTCTCGAAGCTGGATGGGACCAGTTTGTGCTCTGCACCAACAGCAGAACTGCTGGAGAGCAGCCTGGCCCAGCAAGGGTGTTGGGCACCTGGTGTTGTTTTCTTGTTCCCTCTTCCTTTGGTGAGCTGCTCTGCCAAGCTGGTTCTTGTACCATGCCCCATGCCTGTGCCGTTCCTTGAAATATGATTTCAAGGAATATATGCTCTGGATTTTCTCCTGCTGTCGGGGAGGATCTTCTGGCTGGAGGTGATCTGAGAGCAGCTGTAGGTTTGGCTCTTGCCATCTGAAATGGTGACAGTGAAGGGAACAAGCTGGAGCACGGGCAGGCAAGTTTCTTTTGTGAGCAGGGCCACATGCAGCTATGCAGTGAGAAAGACTTGGGGTGATGGGTGTTTTGGACCAACCATCTTCCCAGGAAGCTTCATGGGCCAGCAGCGACCCCCTTGGGCATCGTGCAACCCTCACAGACAGGCAGTAGCCATGTTAAAGCAAAGCAGAAAACACAGAAGATGCCACCTCCACCCACACAGGGAGCAACCACACCGCTCAGCTTTTGGTGGGGCCTGTGTGTGAGCAGGCCATACCCTGCCTCCATCATTTCCCACCTTCTGCCTGGGAAAAAGCAGTCCAGGGCCAACACAATCTTTCTGGCAGGGAGGGAAACCCTGGCTGCAAAACAGAGCATGCTTCTCCCTCTTAGGCAGATGTGGTAGTTGACTGCATGTCTGGGAGAGATTAAAATGGCCCAATGCATCGCTGGCAAAGGAGATGGTTCAGGAAACACAACCTTGGGCTGCTCCAAATGCAAAATTTCAGTCCCAGTTATGCCCTGAGAGGGACTTTCTGAAGGTGGCTAAGCAGAGTCTGACCGTAAGTAGATTTTTTAAGTTGTTTTTTAAAGTTGGTTTTTTTTTTTCTTCTTCTTTAGTCAGGACTGAGGAACCAGCACCCCAGAGGACCTGCAGCTCCCCAGCACTCACACCTTGAGTCAAGGCTGAGCTCCACAAGCCGCTTCAGAATGGAAAGAGAAATCCCCATGCTCTGGTAGGCACTGAAACAGCTAATCAATGTCAACACCAAGGAAGTCCTGGCTGCTTTTGAAACTGTCTCATGTCTATGCTTGAGTTTTTAATCCCATCTGAGATGCTAATATGTTCAAATTAGACTTGCTGGCCAAGGTAGGTGAAAGGACACGGGCGCCTTTTGCAACTGTGGGCGAGATCTGCCAATGCAGATCTGTGCAAATCACCTCAAACATCCCCACAAACACCCTGGTAGGTTCCCCGGGGTGAAATCTGTGTTGCCTGAGCAAATCACTGTTGTGTGCTCAGAAAACAGGTGACAACAGGAATAACAGCGAGTGTTTGCATGAAGACATTTTTAGGCCCAGATCCTGTAAAAGCTGTTTGTGTGCCGTAGCCATGGTAAGTAACTCTACTAATTAGCAATGATATTAATAACAGAGAATAAAGCTGGTGCTAGGTCAAACTCCTTTGCTAGGTGATGTGAGCAATAAGCACCCTGAGTAGGATAGAAAGGGTTATTTTTTTTTTGGTTTCCTCATTTATTAATGAATTTAAAAGAACAGTTGATGGGGAGAAGTGACTGCAGTTGTTATGGAGGTTGTGATTTCTTTTTTTCTTTCTGTCAGTGTTCTGCCCAGTCTGCCATGGGCTTTCCTCTGACCTGCTGCTCGTATCCTTTTACATTTCCTCTGTCGAATAGGCTAAAATATGAGAAGAAAAAAAAGCAGAAGGGCTTCCAGGGCTGTGTATATAGGTGTTAAAAACTGCCTCATTAAATCACCCTCTCAAAGCTTTTCAGGATGCTTTTAATCTACTGTTTTGCATCATACTGGTCCAATTTTAATTTCTTTTGGAGGTGAGAAGCAGTCACCTTTTTCCAAATCTATTTTCGCCTTATGTGTTAAAACAACCACTGGCATTTCCTTTTTCTGAAGGATGAGTATTTTTGATGTACCCAGAAAGCCAGTTCATAAAACAGTGCTTTTCTACACTTTTGCTTCCTGGCATTTCCAAGTAATTGAAGTTCACAGTGAGACTCAATGTGTGGAAGTCACAACAGCCTCTGAATTGAAGTAGCGTCACAAATTTCTGTTTGCATTTTATTTTGGACCTCATGGCCACATTAGCACTAACAGGAGTCCTCAAGACATGATGTTTGTATGGCTGCTCACCCTGCCAGGTGGGGAACCCCGAAGTGTTTCAAACCATGGGTTGATATCCCCTCCTCCTAATGCCCACCCTGTTTGTGGTTTGAAGGGATGAGTCTGAGTCCTGCTCTCAAAAGGGGAGTACGTGATGCTGAGCACATCCTCCTCTCAGCCCCAGTCTTGCAGCCTCGGGGCATGTGTAAGAGGCACCTGGGAAAACACTGTTTGCAGCTCAGGAAACTTCCTTACCCATTTTTCCTTGCTCTGCTTTACTGCCATTAGGAAAGCTCTATGGCAGCCCAAGCTTTGCCTGCAGGTGTGAGATTGCTGGATGCTGTATCCTTCTGTGCCGCAGTGGGGATTTTCAGGGAAAACATGCATGAATTAGCTCCAAGGCTTTGAGCCTAAATTTATCCTAAGCCTGTGGTAACATTCATAAGATCTTTTTTTCCTAGGCTGATGGGATGTCTCTGGGATCAGGCATGCTGAGCTGAGCTAAGAGAGGAGCCCAACTGGCGCATGAACCCAGGGACAACAGGGAGGTGTGCGATGATGGTGCAACAGGAGACCTGGCTCACAGTGCTTTTCCCTTGCACCCCCTGCTGCGGGGGAAAGGAGAGGAAGGGTGGCTGTCCCGGGACATCTCCACAGGTAGGGAACACCGCAGGAACGAGGGCTGGGGACGCTGAGCTGGGCCACCACGAGGTGGCAGCCGGAGCCAAGCGATGAGGAGCTCCGGCCCGACGTATTCCTACCCCAGCCCCCTTGGTGTTCCTGCCCTGGGAACTCCGGGGACAGCCAGGCGGGGGGCGTCGGGAGCGCGAAAAGATTTATTTTAAAAAGCAAACAAAAGAGAGCCACAGTTATCAAATAATCAGCATGGTGCCGGCAGAGTTGGAAAGTCCCGAAAATCTTGTTAAGTGTTGAAGGAATTTGTCATTCCCTGAGAGGAGACAAGTGTGCAGCACAGTAGAGTGTACTTTCTGTGCCCTTTCCTTTGGGAACAAATAATGACCTCTCTCCCCGAATGACCTTATGGATATCCCCTTTCCTGGCCCTGCACTGCTTCGCTCAAAAATTGTTTACTTAACTGCTTCACATATTTGAGATAAAAATCAGAGCAGTTATTTCCAGTTCACTTTTAGATAGATGATGCAGCTCGTGTTCCAGGTGGTCTATGTGACTGAACCATAGGATCACAGAATGGCTTGGGTTGGAAGGGACCTTAAAGATTATCTCATTCCAACCCCCACCCCCCACAATGAACAGGTACAAACAGTTACTGCTTTGTGGGGTTGGGTCCCCCTGTCAACCCCAGGATACGGATTCTATCCTAAGACACTGTTTCTTTTCCCCACATGGGCTTTGCTTTTGTGGATGTTTATGCAGGACACTGAAACAGAAGTAACATAAGTTGCTGGAAACTGGCCTGTTAGTTTGGGAATGTGTGACTCACTATGCACAGCTCATAGATCAACTCCATAAAATGATCACAGGGCAAAAAAACATCCCATCCTGTTTTTAGAGGGAAAAGCATGGTACTGTGGTATTGGTTTGCAGGACTGTTCCACAAGCAGCAGGTAAATTAAACCTGAATCTGGTGAACAAAGGAAAGTGGGCTGAGCATTCCCAAGGGTTCAGGAACAGCAGCCACAGCTTTTCACTGGCCTCTGCGTGGCTAAGCCCAGGGTGTAGGTAAGGCTTCTGACTAGGGGCAGCACAGAGCTATCCCTAGTCCTACAGTTCACTGAGGATATCCTCACCATTAGCAGGCTCGTTGGTTTGTTGGAATAGCAGAGCTGGAACCCTTGGCCTCATCGGAAATGATACCACAACGGGATGCAGCTTCCCATGCTCACTGTTCCATGAGCTGTGCTGACTCTGACTCACTGCTCTGTGCTCCCTTTGAATGCTGTTCAGTGTCACTTTAAGGGGCTTAGTCTAAAGCGCTATTTTTGCTCAGAATGCAAATGGTTTGATTTTTAAACCAACCTCTCCCCCACCTTTACTGTGCAGCGCTTCACACAAAGCTTTCTTAATTTGTCAGAGCAAGCAGGGCCGACAAATCTAAAAGGAAACTTGTCTCATTTCCTCTTCTAGCAGTGAGTAAGAGGTGACTCCAGACAGACATATGGGGCTGACATGTCCCCCCGGACGGGCTGTTGTGTGTGTCTGTGCCCAGGTGCCTCCTGCTGCAGCCGTGTTCCCGCCAGCTCCTGCTGAGCCCTACTCTGCCCTTGTCCCAGGTTCCCACTCCAAGGTTCCTGTGCTGCTGTAGGCACAATAGCTGCATCAATTCATTTCCCTCCTGGCATGCCTTGTCTTTCAGAGACAGCTAAACTGCACCCTCCAAATATTGTTCCTGAGCAAGGCTGGCTGCCAGAGCTGAGCACCATGATGCTGTACCAAGGTGTATTGAATACGAACATGTAAGAGAAGCAATGCTGTTAAATTATATTTGTGTTATCTGTGTGACCACTGCCTCTATTATGGCTTTAATCTACATCCCATTGATCCAACCATTAAACTTCTTCCATCAAAGTAATACTTCCACACAACAGTTACTGGATTTTGAACACCAGTAACCCAAAAGAAACCCAGGCAAAAAGACACCAATTAATTCCAAAATGTAAATTACTTTATATTACTTTATTAAACAGCCAATTCTAAAGAACAGTAAAAAATATCAAAACATGCATCATTTGGTGTTCTTAAAAAACGGTTGTCCAAAATAAAGACTGTTAGAAAAATTAAACAAGTTTAGCCCCAATACACCTTTTGCTCTCCACATAAAAGATGTTGGTAGTTATAAATACTGTTCCAGCTCCTTTAGCAAATTTTAACCATGTGCACATTAGTATTTCTATTACAGTTGGATGTTGTTTTTTTTCTTCACAATGGTTCTGTAAACGTGATCAATGTTTTTAAAAAATGCCTTGTTATCAAGCTTAAGGAACTATTGTTTTCCTGTACAGTAAGTACAAATACAAAGATCCTGGATTTTCCTGCCATTCTAATCAGCACTCCATTTACTGAAACATTAAAGATTTCAATTAGTATAAAAATATAACCAGAGAATAAATGTCTGAGAAGATTCAGTATTTGAGTGAGTCTTAGTTAATAGGCAAATAAAATGGTACTGACTTCCAAACCTGGGCACCACTTCCGTACAACTTTTGCTTTTCCAAGATCCAAGTATCACAGTGCTGCACGCAAAGGCACTGCTTAACCACCTGAAAAATTCACTTCTTATTTACGAAAAATAATTTAACATGTAGCTGAACTAACAAGCAGGTGCTAAGGGATGGATGTCTGGGGTACAGGCAAAGCTGACTCAAAGCCACACCAGTGGGCACCTGCTCCTTGAGGGGGCAGTTCTCAAAATCTCTGTACAAGTTAGCAGGAATTCTGTTTTACTGAGCAATAGACAGACTTCTTGTCTGGTGTAGGAGATCTACAGAGTAAAGTCACAGACTTGCTGCTTTTCCCTAAAGAAACAGCTCTGTCCCTGGAAAGAATTGTGAGGCAGAGCAGCAGGCTCTTTGGGAAGCCCTGGTACTAGAAACACTGAAGTTATTATACTGACAGGAATGATTTTTTTTTTTTCTAAAGCAGTTATTTTTACACATTTATAATTTTTATTTAAAAAAAAACCGTAATTTAGTTTTCCCTTTACTTTTTTTTTAAACTGGCCTCCAATTAAGATAAAAGTGCTACATCTAAAAATGGTGGTATGTTCTAGTCAGATTTCTTGCACAAACACAGCCTTAATGCAGATGATATCTGGACTGTGCTACCACCTTCCATTCATCTGTGAGACAAAACTGCATCTTTTAAACTATTAAGAGAACTCTCAAGGCTTTATTTAGCCCTTCTCAAGTGTGAGACAGTACGAAAACAGTCTTGCACGACTACTATTTTTCCAAATGTCTTCCAGCAGCATTTTCTACATGCCTATTTCTAGTTCTTTTGTTTGTATTCCTGCAAACAGAGGAAAACAGGACACCAAATCCAACCAGGCAGCAGGTACTGCCAGCCCACCCTCACTAAAGGATGTGTCTGAGCACTAAGCACCACGCAAAGAGCAGCAGATGGACAGAGTAGAAGGAGGCTCAGTGGAAGGAAAGGTAATGCTCTGTCTCAGAGTTGGACACAACCTCCAGGACTGACTTATCCTGGGTTTAAATTATACTAACTCAACCAATGGAACAATTGCTTCCCTCACTTTTTGGAAGGAAAGTGATGCTGCTTGATTGGTTAGCTGCTGTCAGATTGTTACAGGCTAGTACATAAACAACTCTGTCACAAGCTACGTTTCAACAAAAATCTTCAGTTGAGAAGTCTTTTATAAAAGAAGAGAATTTCTGGAAACATGAGCGAGAACAAACTGCAAGTAGTGTCAGACACCACATATTGTAATTGCTCAGCTCTCAGCAGACACACTGACGTGGTAAACAATATTTCATCTGTACAAAGGCCCAACCTGCTGAGCAAACTAAGAACTTTGCAAGCGAGAGGCTGCTCTGTGCAAAGCAGGACGAGGGGAGGTGGGCTGCCATTCACAGACAACACATCAGCCACTGCCGTCACTCAGAAGTGGCTTTTTTCCCTTTCCAGCTCTTTTGTCTTTCCTCCAGTTCAGCTTCAGTGAAGGCAGCTGGGCCCCAGTTTGTGATTAAGTGAGGATTCTTGGAGCCTGGAAAACAGAGTGCAATACTTGAGAGGGCCATTTCTGACAGGGATGTTGCACACCCACCACAGGAGGATTTGGAAAATGCTGCCTCTTCTGTGACTGGTCACCTTCTCAAAGGTGACCCAAGGACCCGCCTGTCCAAGGAGGGAGGAATGCCTGGGCTGCTGTCACTGAAGGTGCTTAGTGTGAGTTGTCAACTGCTGCAATCTTTTGTATCCTTACCTCCCAACTTCCAACCCCCACCCTCAAATAGTTCTGTCTTAAGAAACCCCTCTTCTTCTTGCCTATAGAGATGTCCTTGAAGAAAAGTGATCTCTCCAGAACTGCATTACGAAGCCACTTTCCTCTGGGCTGGCATGCTATTAATTAAGCTAAGAAATTAAACTTTTTCCAAAATCAAATATTTACTTCACGGTTTTGAATGCTAACTGCATTCAACACCTACACAATGCAATGTTCAGGCTGATCCTTGCTTTGTTTTAAACATAAAAGAAACAAACAACAATAATAACGACAATAAAATCTTTATAGTAGGGCCAGTAGATCTAAAGACTTGAAAGTTACCATCAGCAGTTCTCACAATTGTGTTATTTATAGGCTGCCATGAAACCAGTAAGTCACAGGAAAAGGCAGACTACAGTAAATCACCAGGTGATCTAAGTACCTGAGACAGAATAAATGTATATTTTTGTAACTTTTCTGTTGATAGCTTACCTGGCTCTATTAGTCGAATTAGTCCCTCGTGATGAGCTACTTTATCTTTCCAACTCTTGGTGTTATTAGCTGCCGTTTCCAACTTCTTCTTAACCTCCTGAAATAAGATACAGCCTGCTTGAAAACAAGAACAACTTTACTCTGTTTATATAAAAAGATAAAACACCTTTTAAACCCAAAGCCAGAACCATGCTAATTCAGTCAGCCCTCTGTGTTAGTGAGAGCTTAATTTCTAACCATCCCAAGTAATTTAGTCATCGCTGGGGAAAAAAAAAAAGTTGTCAAACCAGAATCCCAAAATAACTTGATTTTACAAGATTCTGTAGCTGTGTAAGCAGGGCTCATCTTCATAAAGACTGAAAGCGCAAACTGTAGTTTCAAAACAGGAAGATGCACTTTCTGTTCCAAACTAAGTATCTCTCACTACGAGAAATCATAAAAAAAGGAAAAGGACTGCTGCTCTTACACCCAAGCAAGACAGAGGCATTCTTCAGTCTAAACTAAGCTTTTGGGCAATTCCAAATGCAAGGCTAGAATGTTTAATTATTTCTAAAATAATTGTTTTGTGGATTTTTTGTTTTGTTTTTTTTTAATGTCTGTTGTATTCAGCAATTCCTTTGGAGTACTAAGTGATGTTTCGCATACAAAAAGGTGAGATGTCACCTAAAGAAGTACTAGTGAAAAGCAATCTAATGATGGTGTGAGATGTAACACCAACATGGGAAGTTGTAAAGAGTCAACAACTACCCCACGTGGGCCCTTGTTCACAGTCACTGCAGCATTTGTATTCTGTGCCAGTCGAGAGCTCATTGGCTTGTCCTTCACAGAGCTCACCTCAATGGCACGAAGGCCAGCATAAACACTCTCTCAGTTAAACAGAAACCCAGCCAGGTTTTGTTTCCTGACCTAAATACATGCAGGATCAACACCTCCCCAGTCCTGGAAATTGTGCCGCACTTCAGACTCTGTACTCACTGGATTCTGGCTCTTATTTCTTCCACAAACACAGCTACTGACCTTCACCAAAAACACTCAGCAGAGCAGAGAACAGGCCTGGCATCTGGGGCAGGAAGCACTGCTACACACTTAAGAATCTGAGCTAATTCATAGCTATCCTTGATTTCCATTCAGTGCTTAAATACATTTTCGAGTGCCTACAGTAAGACATTGATATTTCATCTGTAGAAGACAATATTGTGCCATTATATCATCAAAACACTGCAAGAATAAGTCAGAAGCAAAAGGCATCCAGTTATGAGAGCAACGGGACTGCACACAAAGTGAGTCTACAGTAGAAGGCAAATGCACACAGAGTGTTTCAGGATATGACTGAGCTGGCTTGTATGCAAATTGGGACAAAAATAAATAAAGGAGGTGGTGTGTCTGAAATAGGTCCTCTTCTTCAAATGTATCCACTAGTCTAGACCAAGAAAACCTGACCCAGCTATCCTACCTCTCATTATAATCTTTGTGCCATACTAATCCTTACAGAAGCATAACAGTGATGAACTTCAAATTCAGTCAATCTGTGGATGAGAGGTTGATGCACAGAACAGCTCACCTCGTACTGCTCAAGGGCCTCCTTCCTTTCCAGTTCAAGTTGTTTCAGTTGCTGCATAGCAACTTGAAGAGCCTGTTCCTTTATAATTCTCTGGTTTTCTAGCTCTTGCTTCTCTGCTTCTGTCATCTGAATGGTCTGTTGCTGCTGCAAATGCCATTTTTCCAGTTCAGCTCTCTTTGCTGACTCCTCTTCCAGCAATCTGCAATGGGGATTGTTTTGTTAACTGCACTTAAAAGTAAGTCATATCCATTACCTAGCACACATGTATGGAAGCAAAGTTAATTGGTTATTTTCCCCTCCCCCTTTTTTTTAAAGGGTAGGAATATATTGTTTATAAAAAAAGAGCTTGGGAAGCAGGGAAAAGAATTATTGCTTGCTGGTTTGCCTTCAGCATCAAGCTGCTGATCATGCCAGCAGTGCAAGCAGTCTGACTGCTACAAAGGGCTATTCAGAAAATGTAGCCAATAATGCAAACACACAACACAGAGCCCTAGAAGAAACAAGCATGCATAAGTTATCTTCATTGTCTTAGTACCAAACATATGAAGAAACAAACCACAGTAAAAAAAGCCCAAGTGAATGAGAGGAAACTTAACCCTTTATCAGTACAGTTTAAACCGGCGATAAAATACAGTAGAATGTCATATTTACAGTTAGTGCTTTATAAAATAAACAACTGAAAAGCTTGTACAGAGTGATCTCAGTTTTCCACATGCTGACAAGCACACCACCTGATGGAAATATAAGTGTGCCTGCTTCTCTGAAATTGCTGAGCACTCCCTCTACTAAGGACTAATCGAACATATTTAAATACCAGCTTCAGCCTTCATATCTTGAGGGAAAATAAAACCTGTGTTTTGACTTGAAGGTAGTCCCCCATTCCAGCAGCATGTCCAAGAGGCAAACAATCATTAGCAGCATGGCACAGTTACTTACTATTTGCAGGGGAGGAGTGGGGAACTGAAATAGTTTTCTACCTGGTCAAAGCCATACCTGGCCTGAAGTTTCCTCACAGTCTCTTCATCTTGACGTGCCTGTCTCTCATCCTCCAATGCTTCCTGTAGCTGTTTATACATTTCTTCCAGTTCACGTACTCTTTGTAAATATTGTTCCAGTTCAGATGATTTCTGAGCAACCTGCTCTTCCATCTTTTGCCTTACCTAGCAGCATAAATTGGGGACACATGAGCTAACATTCAGCTCAGGTTTTCACTTTTTAAAGGAATTGCCAGGTTTCCCTCAGATGAGGTTTTCAGAGACAAACCTTTTCCTACTGCTTGCAGAGCCCAACTGACAAAATTGTGGCTAGAACTGTAGATGTGAAACTAAGAGTATTTAAAAAAAAATAATAATACAGGTTACTTACATCGCTCTACTTCCTGCAGCACAGGATTTTTACAGGAGGTTCAAACCTAACTTCAGTCAGTTTGATCTTCTTGCTTATTTTACAGATACACACTAAACTGAAGGGAGAGAAAGCCTGCAGAGTGGCCAGACACAAAGGTCAGGCTGATTTAGTGACAGTTTCCACTCCTTTCCTCAGGCAAGTCCTCCCTTGGCAGCAGTGTATCTCACACACTTATGATGGCACCACATCAGCACAGGATGGATAAAGGACTGGAAAACAGCTAAGGAGGTTGGCTCTGCTAAGAGAAGAGCCACTACAACAGAGGAAGGTGAGGGAATGCTGCATATCCTCAATCCGCCAGTCTCTGATCCTTATCATCCCTCTTTCACCTACCAGAGAGTGAAACCAGGAGCACTGTGACTCCCACAGAGGCCATTCCTGTGCTGGGTCAGCAGGAGGCAGCTGGGATAAAGCACCAAGCCCTTGGCATTTACCAACACATGGCATGTCCTGCATAGCCCCGACAGGCTGCAGTCACGCGTCAGAGTGTGGCATGTCCTGCCCCACTGGTCTGCAGTCTGCTTTTCCTCAGCTAACCGAAATCCCAGTGACCCAGAAAGTGATTGCATTCAGGAATTCACACTCACCCATAAAGCAGCACTGTGTGCATTTATGTCCTGAGATGTCCCATCGCACTGACTTAACAATTTCTGCTTCTTTTCTCCAGATAACAGAAAAACTCGTTATGCCTGACAAAGCCCTTGAAGATTGAGAACCAGTTCTTTTGGAAATTCCCAGTGTAGGTTAATAGGAACTTTACTTTTTATATTTTTGTGTGTGCATAAATGTAAAAGAGGACACAGTATAAAAAAGCAATAGTTCTGGGAATATATAAAATGCATTTTGATTATGCCTGATTCATTTTGCATATTCATACAGCATGTACTGGCGTCAGGTTCTCTGTTTTTGAAAACTCCAAGAACCTCAGCCTGCATTTATCCTTTGAACAGTCAATTTTTTTCCCAGTTTTCCAGTAACACTTAAGCTTTGAAAACTATACAAATTGTAGCCTAGCTGTGCCAGTATTTGAATTCACCAGTAAAAATATTTTAGTCCTGCATCTCTAGTAAATGCAACGCAGGTTGCATTCTCCAGCCTCCAGCAAAATCTGTGGAATATTTTCAGTGGCTTCTGTGAGGGAAGCCCTTGCTGAAGGCACAGCTCACTGTGTGTAATCATAGCAAAAACCCACGTGCTCTGCTCACCATTTTTTCTCTCTCCAGCTCCAAACTGAAGCGATCTTGTAATTCAACTTGAGTCTGAAGTCTTTTCTTCTCCTCCTCAGCAGCACGAGCAGCTGCTGCTTCCAGTTGCTGGAAGAGAAGGGTGTGGGGTGGGGGAGAAGAAAAGGAGGACAAAAACAATTTGTCAAAGCTAAAACAAAAATGGAAGAAACCTTCAAACGCATTAAGGCACCAATGTGGGGGGGTTTTTAATGTCTGACACTCTTCTCAATGTCTAAATATAATTTTCCATCTTGTTTATTTGCACAACAATTTGAAATTTATCAATGAAAAGGTACTTATCCCAACTACCTCCAAGTTTCCTTTGAGTCCTGCTTTGCACAAGTGAGAGAAATCACTGTATTTCCTTCTCCACCTCATATGGGATAGAAAACTGTTATGGAAAACCACATTTCAGGCAGGATTGCATCGGAATTCCCATACTGAAAACATGCCAGCATGCATAGACTTCATACAGAAACAGAAGCGAGAAGCACTGAATTGCCCTGGCAAAGCAGAAGTACCATGAACTTTGACTAGAATAAGTGATTGTGCTATTGTGAATCACACCTCTCTAACATCCCCTAAACTGCCAAGTAAGGTAAATAACATTCTGGTTGATAATCATCACCTGAAATTAGAGGGAAAATTAGCCTACTCAGAGCTAAGGCCTAGGAAACAGCTGCTGGTACCCTCATGCCTTCTTGCAACTTATTTAACTTTTGTCGCATCTTCATTTTACAAATAAAAACAGCTGTCACCGTTTTTCCTTGCATGAGGATTTTGATGCACATAAGGTTAGAAATCTTCAAGTACCAGCCAAAGCTTTACCAACAGTGAAAGCAAAACAATTCTTTCACAGAATTTTCTTAAGAAACTTATCTGATGCTTCTTTTATAGTATGCTGGGCTGGGGAAATTGTTTCCACAGACCTTCAGTACAAGTGGGACACAACACAAAAAGGACATGGACCTGTTGGAGTGAGTCCAGAGGAAGGCCAAGAAGATGATCAAAGGGATGGAGCACCTCTCCTATGAAGACAGGCTGAGAGAGTTGAGGTTGTTCAGCCTGGAGAAGAGAGGGCTCCAGAGCACCTTCCAGTGCCTAAAGAGTCTATTGAAGAGCTGGAGAGGGACTATTGACAAAGGCATGTGGTGACAGTACAAGGAGTAACTTTAGGAAGGCAGGGTTAGATTGAATATTGGGAAGAAATTCTCTGCTGTGAGGGTGGTGAGGCACTGGAACAGGTTGCCCAGAGAAGCTGTGGATGTTCCATCCCTGGAAGTGTTCGAGGCCAGTTTGTATGGGGCTTTGAGCAACCTCATCTAGTGAAAGGTGACCCTGCCTACAGCAGGGGGGCTGGAAGTAGATGATCTTTAAGGTCCCTTCCAAACCAAACCTTTCTATGTTCCATCATGCTCATTAGTATTTTTGGAAGGCACCACATTAAAGCATCCTCCCTCACATAACCTAGATGAACTAATGAGATGCCTAAGCAATTAAAACTGCCAAGCTAAAAACTTTCATTCTTATAAGTGCTTGTTATATCACTGCAGTCTGAAATAGATGGGAAGAAGTGAAGGAGAAAGCTCAAATTTCTGTTTTTAAGCTGCAGAACATAGTACAGAATTGCTCTCCTTTGAAAGGCTTAAATGATGCCAGTGCTTTAGAAGCAGTATTCCTCCTCTGCCAGAACATTCAAAAGCATGTAATTGTAGTCAAATTCAAGATCCCTATTTAAGTGAAATTTCCTTTTGATTTCCTTCCCTGCTTTGAAATTAAACAAGTATTGCCAATACTGAGCCAAGAGGGCGAACATGCAGAGTCCCAGCCAAGGGTGGGTGCCAACAAGAAAACACTCTGTTTGTCCTCTCCATATCAGCAACTTCCTGCTTAATTCAGGAATATCAATTCCTGGTAGGTAAGGTTACTGGGAACTGTGCAGTTCAGGGAAAAGTCACAGATCTTGGGGAGGGGATCAACAAGAACACAACACACCATTCCAGGACATGTTTGTTAGACAGCACAGAGTCTCTGAAGCCCATGCAAGACCCCAAACTGAAACAGAAAGAGTGCACACATCTTGTGCATGCTCTCATAGTTAGAAAAACTTACCTTTCAGTCTGTTCAATGTGCACATCTCAAAACTCCATTAAAAAATATGAAAAAAAAAGTCTGTTTTAGACAAAAGTTCTTATGCTTTTGAAGCTTTCTACTGCAGGAGCTATCAAAATACAAACCAGTTTCAGAGTGCAGACGTAAATGGTGTGCAAATGGTGGCTCACTGCCATCAGGAGCAAATCAATCTCTAAGCTTTGCAGAACAATTCAGTTTCCTGAACCATTTACAAAGCCTTTTCCTTGAAGAACGTTTTTCTAACTAATCACTTTCAGTTCCTACAACACTGTACTTCCCCACTAATTCCACCTGGGCAAAATGCAGTAGTTCATGTCTGAGCCTAAGCTACTTTCTTTGAAAAGTCATTTTAATCCAGTCCCCTTCAAAAGGTGCTTCTGGCCACAACTCCTTCCCTTTAGTTTGTGATTTTTATAAAACTCCCTGAAGTCTGTCAACATCCTATCGCTCCTTGGGGGTTGCTCTCATGTTCTCTCTCCCCCTAAGTTTTTCTCCATAGAGTCAACAACACAAAAATCCAGCCTTATGATTTCTGTTAACAGGTATATTACTTGCCATTTGCAGGTAACACAGGCTATCCTTTAAAGTCTATTTTTCATACTGAATCTTAAACATGTGGTAGATTACAGTTGCTAAAATTAAATTAAAAATGGTTTTCTGCTGTTGGATTCCATTTAAGGCAAACAAAATAATACCCACAACAGTACTGTCAGTGCAGGGTTAATTTAAAAAAAAAGACAAATTTGTCCCTGCCACAAACTGTGACTTAATGAAAAGACTTTTAAAAATATGTATTTTGGATGGTTTATTTGCTTTCTATACTCAAAAGCTTTGACATACTCTCACAGTATTTACAGTTTTCCCCCACTGCAAAGATCATTAAAGTTTTTTCTAACAGGGCTAAAATTAGTGGGTTTGATTTATGATGCCGACTTGTTCTAAATGTGAATGTGAAAAATGACCTTAATTTAGGAAGGTAGTGTCCAAAAGACTCTTCAAACTAAGCACAGAGCAAGACCTGATCTGCTCTAGCAGCAGGGACTCAGCAGGTGAATCGTGGGACAGCAGTGGGGAGGGAGGTGTTTGATTTGCTGTTTTCAAGGCCCACTCCACCCTAAAAGCTATCACGGCAATAAAAACCACAGTAACTCTTCTTGCAAGCCTTTTCTTTAAAAAGATAGAGATTATATCTGGATACTAATCAAGTGTCTGTGGAGAACTACTGCAGAGGCACCAGTTGTTCCAAAGTCCAAAGATGGATCAGCATGTTCAATCTGCTGTTGGAGTGTGCAGCCACAGTACAGGCACCTTGGTGTTCTCCTGCGAGTCCTCAGACTAAAAGACTGTCCATGAGGACAATGTATTCACTAAGTCTTCTTCTAATTTGTGGACATTTCTAACCCAATTCTCAGGCTTTCAGAAGTTAATCCAGTGTTTACAGGAAACGTGCATTTAAACATCACTATGTGCCTCAGCTCTACAAATCTCTCCCAAACTACTCTAATAAAATTATACCTAGACACGCTCATAAAATCACTTTCCCTCTTCAGAATCTTTGTAAATTAAATTTATAAATTAAATTTATATCACTAGAAACTACATCTGTTCGAAAAGAACAGTTCCCATACAAATCACATAACATAACTTCGGAAAACTATGTAAGAAAACCTTAATGGAAAGCCCTAAATTTGACAGATACATCTTACAGAAAAGGAAAACACAAACCCCACAAGTAACTGAAAACATTAGTCTCTCCAGCCACCAAGCCCCATCCACAGAGCTGGCATGTCCTTCTACAGTAGCTTGACAACACCCTGCTAAGTACAGGGGGCAGGGCTGGGCCAGTGAGTTCCCCGAGCCTGCTGAGCAGTCCTTGGAAAGGGCTGCAGTCAGTGCTGGAGCATCACTGCAGGCTCCACCTGCAGATCCACATGCTCAGGGCACTGGTGGTGACAATGTGCCTCAAACACCTGAACAGGAAACAGATGCCCGATCACGCTCCAAGAAGCCCAGCTCAACCACAGGACCACAGCTCCCACTCCCACCTTTCGCACGGCCTCCAGTTCCTTCTGCTTGTTCTCATTGGCCGCCTGCAGTTCCTTCATCTGCCGCTCCAGCTCCTCCTGCTCAGCCAACAGCTTCTGCCGCAACTCCTTCCGCTTCTGGCGCGCCTCTTTGTGGGGTGGGGGGCTCCCTGCTCTCAGCAGGTTTACCGTGGTCTGAATGGCTGGAAAGGACAGACAAAGGGACAGGAAGAGAACACCACTGAAGGGAAGTGCTCGACTTTCTGGATGGACTTTGCGAATGAACACTTGCGGTGTTGTTCCTTGGGCTGGGGGTTTTCTAATATATTTTTAAATGAGAAATAACTGGTGTCAGTCTCCTAATTCTCATCAGGCTAGCTGTCAACACAAACCAGAACTGAAAGACACTTGGCTCTCAGCACTGGCTGTGTGCCACAAGGATAAGGTCTGGTAATTCCACAGCATTATGCCAATGCCAATATTGATTTCTAAAAGGCCATGGACTTACATACGCAGCTGCAAGAAAGAAACCCCAACGTTTCAGGATTTCTTACTACCTAGATTCAGTGACTCTCATCAAGGAATAAGATGTTATCTAATATACACATTACTTAGCTCCCTAGAACCAACTCTGTATTTTTACTGACACTCCAGGGGAAAACTTCCTCCCAGTAAGACAGTAGCTCTCATTCACTTATATGCAGTGAAATATTTAGAGGAAATATTCAGAGAGCAAAGCTGAGGAGTGGCAGATGGTTTTGGTATTTTATTTATCTACTACAGCTGAA